GTTTTAAACATAAACTAAGTAAAAAGAGTAAATGCGGATTCGGCGACGTGTAGCTCTTCAGCACCATCCTGGAGGAAGCCTTTAGATCCGGTTCCTCCAGTGACCGCACTGTTAAAGGTTCCTGGAGGTTCTGCTGGCTCAGCTGATGTGAGAGTCGGACCGTCAGGAGGCAGAGATGTTCTGCAGAGCCTCTCTGGGCTTCCTGTTGTCCATCCGTCTTCCTGGCCGACGCTCAGAACCTTTTAAGGTGTCGAGCGAAGCGCCGGATCAAAGCCGGCTCCGTTAAATCTACCTGCTGAAGCGAAGCGACGGCGCGCTGCACGTGTCGCAATAAGTCCGAGGTGTTTATGGAAAGTGCTGCCGGAGAGAAGGCGCCGGCCGACAGCCGCAGCCCTCCACTGTTTGAAGTAGTCTGACATGAAAAATGTATACAAGGCTTCTTTATTTATGGGCCTCCGTGTGATCTTTGTTTCATCTCCACCTGGACCTCAGAGGAATTGATTCTCCCTAATCAGTGTCAGAGCAGCAGCTCGGACCAGAAGCCTCCACGTCGTCCTGAGCTGGTGCCGTTAAATCCACCACCAGTGCTCATGTCTGCTGCAGCGTCCGTAGGACTGCTGAAGTCAGCCGAAAACAATCCGCTAGAACCCAGAACCATCGGCTTGTTTGGCAGGAAGTCAGTGTTCAGTGTCGCATCTTCGTTTTATATGATGATAAAAATACAAAAAGTGCATTTAAGTGATCAGATTGAAGCACGTGGCATCGAAACAGCGACTCGCTGTGTTCAGCTTCACCTTAAAGCGGTGCTCGTTGGTGTTGTGGCCACTAGGGTGCAGCGTAATGCTACAACACGCTAACGCTAATAAGCTGACATGAATGATGTGATGTCAGTGGACGAGACGAGAGCCACAGGTGTAAAACTTGGTCTAATGTGATGTATTAGAAATGTGGGTGGAGCTTGTTACCGTCGATGGGGGTGATGTAGTCGGACAGGTGTGCCCCGGCGGCATTGGCTCCGCCCCCCTGCATCAGCAGCTCGCCGTACGGACTCCGGTGGCTCGTCATCAGGTGGTAATACTCAGCCGGACCGGCGCCGGGGGGCGGCGGGAGTCCGAACAGCCCGCGGTCCTTCAGGTGGTCCTGGGCCACTGTGGGGGAGCAGAACCGGCCCAAAGAGACGCAAAAATTACACAAAATGGTACAAGAACGACAGAAAAAGCTGTAAAAATGGAACAAAAATCATCAAAACTAACAGAAAACGACACCAAACCTACAAATCAACCAACGGCAGCAACACTAACGGACCCGTTCTGACCTTTTCAGCAGTGAGATACGGGTCAAACCCAAACTACTGGATGCAGGAAGTGTACCGTCTGAACTCAGTCTGTTCTCACCTTGAAAAGTGAAACCTGCCGCCGCGAACACAAGACGTGAATTAATTCTAGCGCCTTCGTTCACTTTGAAACCAGAGCGAGTCTTAATCAGACGGAACTGAAGCATTAGTGGATCTGACTGGTGCTGGTTCTGTCCTGGATGCTGAGGAGGAAACCAGAGGTCACCCGGACTCATAAAGAGCTCCATTTCCCGACCTGTCAGCGATCTATTTGCATTCCCTCTGCTTCCCTTCATCACAGCCGGTCGAGGCGCTGCTGCTGATTGGAGAGTAAAAGCATCGCCGCTCGCCGCCGACACGCCGGAACCAAGATTTATGTCCAATCTGGGGCCGTCACCGCGGCAACAAGGGGAGCGCCGCCGGGGCGATGGCTGCTTCCTTCAGCCGCTTCAGCCGACCGGACACGATCAGAACCGAGTTCAGAACGGGTCTAAAACCAAGATCAGAACTTGTCTAAAACCAAGTTCAGAACGGGTCTAAAACCAAGATCAGAACGGGTCTAAAACCAAGTTTAAGACCAGTTCAAATCTGGTGTAAAACCAGACTAACAGTTCTGAGAGATTTTGAAGCGGTCCCAGACTGGTTTTATTGTTGGTCACAGACTGGTTTTATTGTTGGTCACAGACTGGTTTTGTTGTTGGTCCCAGACTGGTTTTGCTGGTTTAAGGTTGGTTTCTGACTGTTTTTTGTTTGACTTTTTTTGCTGGTTTTAGACAGGTGTTGTTATTGGTTTCTGACTGGTTCTGCTGGTTTCTGACTGGTTCTGCTGGTTTCTGACTGGTTTTGTTGCTGGTTTCTGCCTGGTTCTGCTGGCTTTAGACTGGTTTTGTTTGGTCTAAATATGAGAATCTGATAAGTGGGAAACACCAGATGACGCTCCAACCACAACCGGGTCAGAGGTGGAGATTTTGTCCGGGTGCCGGCGGACCAGCAGACGTCTGGACTTACGCTCTGCCGGGCTCAGGCCTCTGGCGGCGGAGATCATGGACAGGGTGGGGCTGCCGTGCACCGACCGGAGGTAGTGCTCCATGTGGGGGTGGACGTAGGGGTGAGGCGGGCTGAAGGGGGAGTCGCCGGTCGCCACGGCAGCCGGAGACAGACGAATCAGGGAGATGTCGGAGATCACGGGGCTGCCGGTCAAACCTGCAGGGCTGGAAGAGACGACAAAGGTCAACATGGCAAACTGGGTCCAGCACACATGGGCGACACAACGTACTGGTTTGTTCCTGGGCTGAGGTCGTCGGTTCCAGACCGGTTCCAGACCGGTTCCAGACCGGTTTCAGACCGGNTTTAAATGACTTTCTTTCTTTTCACTGATTTTACTGAATATTAATGAATTTGAGTCAAATAGAAATTAAAAAGAAAAAGTTTGACGCTGACAGAAACGCTGCGTTTCTGATGCTTCTGCTGATTTAAACACAATAAAACTGAATGAAGCCTCATTTATGGTCAAACATTGACTTAAAAAACAACAAAAAAACGTTTTTCTTGGATCAAATATTAAATGAACCTCCTTCTGTCTAAACAAACCGTCACAGCTCAGATCTTCCTTCAGAAACTTCCTGTTGGCTCCCAGAGTCCAACATTCATCTGCTGGTTCAGGAGGAACCGTGACGGACCTCCTCCGGGGACGTCTTTATTACCCGACGCATTACTGTCGCCGTCACGTGGCGCTAATCTGGTCGCTTAAGCAGCCCGAGCTGAGCCGCAGCGCCGCTTTTTTATTTATTTTTTGGTTCCCGGTGACGGCGTTCAGGTCTGGCAGCCGAATTCATCTCCGTTACCGGCTCACCTCGAGGGAAAATGTCCTTATTAATGCGCCGCTTCCCCTGATAAATGGACCAATGAGAAGGCCCGGCTCGCCGCCCTGCCCCTCCCCCGCCGCGCCGCTGTGATTTATATCAGCAGTGACTGTGGTCTGTTGGTACGTTAGAAAAGTAAAAAAATAAATAAAAGAAGCCAAAAAATTTAACGTAAAAGTACCACTGAGAAGAAAAACAAAGAGTAAAACGAGCAGCACATTCCTGAAAATGACACCTTTTGTTGATTTAAATAGAGGAAAACAAACAGGGCTGTTTTGTGGGACACTAGGTACAATTCTAGGCTTTTATTTTGAAAGTTGACGTGTAAATAACTTTGTTTTTAAATGTAGTTTAACAGGAAAAAAATCTGTAAAATAACAATTTAAAAAATACCTTAAAATACAGAATTTTCCTGCAAATGTCTCGAAAACGTGTTTTTATTTGTTATTATTATAAATAGCTAAAAGTAAACAATTAGATGACTAAAAACGATTAATTAGCAACGATTTATTACTTTTAGCTAAATATTCATGTTTCGGTATCTGTAACCTTNTTTAACCAGATGTTAACATTTCTGTATGTTTATTTATGATCCAGATTTTTGTCAGAAGACTTTTAAGAAGTCTGTGACAGAACCAGAATACATGTTTGGGCTCATTGTCTGGTTGGAACATCCAACTGTGTCCAAGATCAACCTTCTGCTGATGGTTTCAGGTTTCCCTGAATCCTCCTCCTTGGTATTCCATGATGCTGCCACCGCCGTGCTTCACGGTCGGTCTGGTGTTCTTGACTTCCAGAGGTATAAACGGATGGAACAGGGTTTTGGTTGGCGGTACCGGTGAGCAGGGAGACGTGGGCCTCAGTCCCTCTGCTTCGGCCTTCACCTTGGACCTTTTGGTGATCATGGCGTCGACGGTGCTGCTGATGGCCGAGTCGCCGCCGTGGTTCTGGGGAGGAAGGGAAACAGGTTAACGCCGTGAGACTGAGCCTCAGCTTCAGAACTTCTTTGTTTCTGCAGAAGATTTGATCAACGTGGTTCAACATCTTGTTTAAACGTCTGAATTAAACTGGAATCATCTGACAGTCTCTGGTCCTCACTGGTGCTTTGATCCGTTGATCTCCTGGTGTTTGATAGTTTGGGATGTGAACATCCAGGTTCATGAGGCTTTGGTTTGTTGATATGTTAGAGTTTGATAGTTCTGTGGACTGATAGCTCAGTCTGACAAGCTGGCACTTCAACATCCAGCTTGTTGATGTTTCTGTTTGTTGATGGACCAACCGTTGGCAGTTTAGCACTTTAATATCCATGTTACTGTTTATTTAATACATCAATATCCAGGTTATTGATTATTTAATACATCAATATCCATGTTATTGATTATTTAATACATCAATATCCAGGTTATTGATTATTAAATACATCAATATCCAGGTTATTGATTATTTAATACATCAATATCCAGGTTATTGATGCTGCTCTTCATGTATTTCGAAGGCTTTTGACATTTCAGTGCATTAGTATTCAGGTGTTTGACCATTTGGTCCGTTGGTATTGAATCCAGGTACCGACACACACCTTTAACACACACCTTTAACACACACCTTTAACACACACCTTTAACACACACCTTTAACTCACACCTTTAACTCGAGCATCTTCTTACCTTAGACGTGAGGTCGGCGTTGTGGGCGGAGCCGGGCAGCAGGCCGAGGCCCGACTGGCGGCTGGCGAAGGTGGGCGGCGGCTGGATGAGCGGCGGATTGTGACCGAAGGCGCCGAGGCCTCGCTGCTGGCTGAGCAGCTGCTGGTAGGCCATGGGGCTGATGTGGTGGTGGAAGGGGAAGGACGGGCTGGAACACCAACGTCAGGAGAACATCGGACACAACGTTAGGAGAACATCGGAGACACGACGTCAGGAGAACATGGGACAAACCCTCGCGGTACCTGATACATGGCGAGCAGACACCAGGTAACCTGACTAACGGTCACTTTGACATGAATTCACTGTGAGTCCGTTTGGTTAGTTTCTGTCATTTAGGACAGTTTTAGTTCTATTCTGATAAATTCTGAATCCGTTTGGACAACGTTGTGACACCGTTTGAGTAATTCTCTATAAACTCTGGACACATTTTAAGGGTTTTAAGACAGACTGACTTATTTAGGACATTTTTGTTTATTTTGGAAAACTTTTGGACAACTTTTTGGTACTTTCAGATCAGTTTAAGTCATTTCAGACAAGTTTTGAGTTATTTGGGACATTTTGGGTGATTTTCGATAACTTCAGTGATTTTGGAAATACTTTAGGTTCGTGTGAACAGCTTTTGATTCATTTTTGACAAAGTTTGAGTTACTTCAAACTACTTTCTGTCATTTTCGATGAGTTTGGATATTTTTAAACTAACTTTTAGGTCATTTTGGACAAATGTAGTTATATTTTGATAAATTCTGAATCAGTCTGGACGACTTTTTGTCATTTCCAACAATGTTTTGTGAAAACTAAGTCATTCTAGACGGATTTTAAGGCATTTTTTGGACAATTTCTGAGTTATTTAGGACATTTTTGGGCATTTTGGTATAATTTTGGACAGTCTTTTTGTCATTTTAGATCAGTTTTCGAGTTATTTAGGAC